AAGAGAGGTTAATACTAGAAAATAGTTTTTAGTAATGATTTTACAATATATTATTTGTAGATTAGATGGGCAAGATTGAAATTCATTCCTCTATCCTTACTCCCTGGATACGTCAATGTCACAAACATCGAATTTCATAGTACAGGCTTGTGTAAAACGTACTGAAAAAATATCACAAACTAAAAAAGAATATTCAAGTGCAATTAGTATGTTAACATAGTTTATATTTCGATACTTTGTCATGAATATATATGTAGGTATATACCTTGTGATCGAAAAATAACTTATTCGTTCTTGAATTCCCGCGCTTATCCAATCGGTAAATTTTTTTATTTTCATGCTGGCAACACTATTATACACATTCTGTCAAAGTTTAACGCATATCGTACGATTAGTTTTTGTTTGGCGACTATACAAAGAAGTCGAAAAATTTTCGTGTGGCGATTTTTAGCTGAATTTCATTCAAAAAAAGTGTCCTTGTGATGTGGCCAAAGAGATGATTTCTAACGCAGATAGTGACCCCAGATTGATCGAACGCATCATAACTGGTGATGAGACATGAGAACGCCAAAGTCGGTCCAAAAACAAGGTTATGCTGACTGTTTTCTTCGATAGTCGTGGTGTGGTGCACTATGAATTCCTTCCGGACGGTCAAATGGTCAATAAGGAGTATTATTTGGCCGCTATGCGTCGTTTGCGTGAGGCCATTCGCAAAAAGAGGCCAGATTTATGGAAGGAAAACTCATCGATTTCAAACCACGATAACGCACCGGCTCACACAGCGTTGGCTGTGTCGCAGTTTTTGGCCAAAAACTCCACCAATATCATAAACTAAGCACCGTACTCTCCAGATATGGCCCCGTGTGACTTTTTCCTCTTCCCCTGACTCAAATTGCCGTTGCGAGGAACGCGTTTTGAGACCATCGACGCCATAAAAGAGAATTCGCTGCGTGAACTAAACGCCATACCTTGGACGGCCTATAAAACTTGTATCGAAAATTGGATCAAGCGTTGGCATGCATGTATTGCTTCAGGAGCAGAGTACTTTGAAGGCGATAATAAAGAAAATTATTAATACTTAAAATTTTGCCTTTTTTTTAAATTCTCGTTCTTTTTTGATCATAAGGTATATATATGTTATATAGGAATATATGGCATATTTTGCATTAACCTTTTAGTTTATATGTTAACACTGTATTTTTTTTTATGGTTACAAAAATCTTTGAAAATATTAGAGATATGTCTATATATAAACGAAATTGAACATTTTTAAATGTAAACTTCCTTTCTGCTGACGTTAAGTTTTTATTATATGTATATTATGAAAATTTTATTGAGTATAATTAATAATTTCATAACATATTGTATGTAAACACATATTAATTAATTTTTTTATTTTTCAGGTAAATTAATTGGACTGCACTTCATTGGTGAATATATAGCGTAATTAATATTGATATGAAATGCTTTTATTAATTATTTGTTATTTGTTTATCTGTTAAATCTGAAACGAAATCTGGATATCAACATTCTCTGCCTCAAATATATTGTACTTCCATTCCCTTGAGTATAAAATCTGTGTCCATTAGTAAAACGCATTAAAATCTCATTTAATAAATGCTTTTATTCCTATTGGTTGCCAATGCCGGTCTACACTTCAGTGGCAGCGAGAGCAGCAGCAGCAGCAGCAACCGCAGCAGCAACAACAACAGCAACGTAGAAAGAAGAACGCTAACCGCTGAAACAATGGCCATTTATTTGAATCTCGCATTTTTGCTTTGTTTCCGTTCGGTTTCTGTTAGTTCCGTTAGTTTTGTGTGCAACTCCATTGCATTTGGAAGCTCCACGAAGAAACATTAGTAAACAAATGTCCTTGCCACGCAGCATTAATGTGTTTGACCCAAATTTATACGTTCTCCTGTGCAAAAAACAGAAAAAACACATTTTATTCAATGTTGATTTTAACAAATTACAAATCCTGGTTGTGTGCGGGCTTCCTTAAACCTAAAAAGAATGCTCCTCGTTTACGCGAAAATTGGAGCGTTAATACACATTTAGAGAAAATGTGTGGAACAATTCCGTTTAAATGAAAATCCTCATGAAAGCGAAAATGCAATAGAAATACTTACGTTTTATATAAAAAAACTGTTTCGTTGGATATTTAATGTGTTATCGATTTTATTGTATTCAAACCGAAAAACTGCGTTACTTTGTATTTAAAATATGGTAGTATTAAAGCTGAATGTAACTCAAACATCTCATTTTATATATTTCCAATGAAATGAATTTATCTCTATTATCTCCAAAAAGTGTATTTAAACCACTTCAAAGTGCAATTAAATTTAAATTGGCGAACATTCGTTGCGATTGCAAGCACGTAATATTTTGGTTGACTTCCTCGTGATTTGTTAGTAGGTTTTACCAAAACTTTTTTAAATGGAAAATTTCAAAAAATTATTGATATTTTAAACGAAATTATTCAATTGTATAGTTCAATTGTATACCAACAGTTCCTATATTCGCAAATTTTACAAAAATAATTACTTCCAATTTATTATGCTGTGTGTTATTCATAGATTTTTATTTGCATTCAAATTTGTTTACCCAAATAAAAAGTGATTTATGCATTTTGCAAAACAATTTATATTAGTTCCACCCATTTAATCTTTAAAATAAGCAGAGATTTAAATAACAATTATAAATGCTGTGTACACAATTCTTCTATATACGAATATCAGATATAATTTTGTGGTATCGTTGGGGCGATTTGATATCTGGAATTCGTCAAGCAATCATACAGGGTTATTCATTTTGTGGTCCCAACTTGTCAGCATTGTTCAGTACCAGTGTGAAACCAAATTGTAATCCAGAACATCATCTGCTTAGTTTAAGATTTGCCACCTTACGATATGAATCGCTTTTCTACATTGATAATATAAAATCTTTAAAAACCAAAATTTAAAAGTCCACTGATGAAAAATCGTTGCATTCACAAAAAGTCACCATTGGGTGTGTCATTTGAAAATAATAAAAATGTGATATAACCTGCCAATTCTTAATAATATAACTTCATATATAACAATGAATACATATATGGTCTGCACAGGATAACCTACGTGGTATCTCCTGTTTTGGATTTGTTGCGTGAGAAATTTATTGGACGTTTAGTTTTACTGTTTGGTAGCGCGAATTCACCATCCAAGTCCCACTGTATTTCATTTTGTAAGGTTTAGCAAAGGATCGTGTTCAAGAAGTTTCAAAATTTTTGATAGAATTATCCGTAACGTCAAATTAGCCGCAAAGTATAGTCAGCTATGTGCTGCCAAGTTATTAAAAACTATTTTCAGAGAATCCAATAACAGAAAATCTTGGAGAAGATTTGAATGATATAGTATTTGACATCTAATGGCAAAGTCGAGACAATGTTTTGAAGTAAGACTTTAATCGAAATCTTAAGAGCAAATGTGTTTTATTTACGTTCGCTTTTTCGAACTACAAAATGGCTATTGCTGTTCATACAGTATATTAAAGAAATATTAATTATTTTAACAAATTATACTGCTTGAAATTCTTTGTAATAATGGAATAATATCTCTTGAATATTTAGATGGTAATTTGCCAGGAAAGTTGTCGAAACTTACTTATCACGACAAATAACAGATCACGTATAATCAAAAAACACCAATTATATTTTGGAAACCTGACCGCAAAGATTTACATACATACTTCGGTTTCCGTATATCAAAAATATCGCAGTTAAGAGCAAAAACCGCATGTACGAAATTTGGAGCAGTTTTTGCCAGTTGCGTCCGAAAATTATTATTACTCCAAATATTAATAGGAGGATAGAAAACTGATAATTTTCTAACATGCATTTGATTTGCAAGTGGATTTATAACATCAGATGTTCTAAAACTACGAAAGAATAATAAAACTTAATAGAAAATATAAGTCACCGAATTTTTAAATAAATACCAAGGACACGTTATTGGTTATTTTTTCCAACATGACGTTCTTTTGTAATTCATTTTATAATTATTTTGTATCTAATATTATGTTATAATGATACTAAAATGGGTTGTTGATTCTTCGTTGTATTTCCACGGATATCTGAAAACCATTAGTCGGTTTCAAACTGTTACCGAATCTTCAGTTCAGAATGAAACTGCAATTAAGCTCACATACATGTAACTCCAGCGAAGCTTCTGCATATACTCCTGTAATAGTATCAATGTAGTATTAGAAAAAAACTAATACTAATACTAAATATTCTCAGATTACAACGGTGTTTTAAGGAAAATATCAACTACTATTAGTCGTACATCTACCTTGAATTTGCGAGAAATAACTGCTAATATTTGTAAGCGTTCTTGTAGGTTTTACAACGGTTTTACATAATATATGAAAAAAAAATCAAAAAATATTAAATATATATTAAATTATAATTTAAATATTACTTTTCTATAGTACCTAGAAATTATTTAATTTAAAAGCGTAACAACTTTATCACTTCACTATTTAACATTCCATCATTCACCTTCTCGCCTTCTATGCCGAGTTCTCAACTCTACTAATCCAGGAAGGAAATATTAAATACTTAGTTTTAAATATACATATGCTTTACAATTTTTTTTTTAATCACTAAATTTATATTTTATTTAAATTACTTCATAATTCAAGTTTTTTCGGATTACTGAAACTGAAACGAATTTTAGTACAAGGCAGATTGTCCAGATGAAATAGTTAAAAGGATACTAGGATAGGATTTAAAAATGAAAATTTTTTTCTTTTCAAAATAATGATTATCAAAAACATATTGTATTCAAATATTAACAAATAAAAACAACTATTCAATTACAAAATAAATGTCAGATAATTTTGCTTGAATGTCTGTCAAAATTAATTTATTTATTTACGAGTATTAGTTACATTTGTAGAAATCTCAATCAAATTTTATTAAAATTGTACTTTGTGATTAAACTGTCAAATAGATAATTTAAATAAATTCATTTTTCATTTATGCAAACTGAAGCATAATTTTCACAATAATTTTAGCAAAAAAAATTTGTAGTGGAAAATCGAAATTTGCTAAAATGTCGTTTCAGTTTGACGTTGACAAATTAATGTTTAAGCAATTCACTGGGGAGATTCTGGTTTATTTTGAGAAACACAAACTTAAAGAGATTATAACGGTAAGTGGAAGTACAATTCGTCAATTGTGATAATCACAACTAAATTCGTCTTAAAATCAGCGTGTTATTGTGGAAGCTGGACTAGTACGACCTGAGAACCCTCACGTGTGGTTAGCAGTTAACATAAGACGCATAGCGCAAGAAATATACAATGAATATAAGGATTGCGTGCTTAGAAATCGAAACGGTAATACTAATTGAAGCTCTTAAGTGAATTTCAATAATACTATCTTATATAGATGAGAAAATTTACCGACTACCAGGTGGTTTTCTACGTCGAATCCTAATATTTGGTCGACCTGGTTCTGGCAAGAACACAGCAGGCACTATTATTGCGATTTGATTGGTTTTCTGCGTATGTCCTCCTCCATAATCAAGTTATTGAAATTGTTGAATTGTATTTTTTTTCTTTAGTTGATGTGAGGCTTGTATAACAAAATTTGATGACGGATCGGACTGCTCGACTTGCAGGAAGGATTACTGGATTAAGTTGTAAGATGTCAGGTCTTGTGTAGCTTCTTATGAAGCCTCTTGCAAGAGATGTAGGTGATAGAGGTGGGTGTATTTAAATTTCCGAGGGTTTTGTTGTTCAGGATATGGGGGTTTCACCCGCCAAACAATTTGTTATTTCCAGGTGATCCAGAGAAATGCTGTTGCGTTTAGTAAAAAACGTTTGGGGATCATATTTTTTGGGATTAATAAAAAAACGAGGTGTCTTTTCTTTATCTTTCAGCATTTTTTTTTTTGGTTTGACCATGTTTTTATTTCAGTGATCCTCTAGCGTGAACTGATGGACTTATGTTCGAACGTTGGAAACTGTTCATTTTGATGCCTCGCTTGATTCAATCTTGTAAAATGCAAATTTTACGGTTTTGGTAAGTTCCTATTTTTATGGTTTAAATGGAATTGCTAATTCCTTCATGTTTGTTCGTTGTTTAAGATTTAGTTTTGGCTTTTGTTTATTACTTGAACTTTTTTATTACATCATTCGTACAGTTTTTATTTTGTCTTCGTGTTTTCTTTAATACCTAATGCTATTTTAATCCCTTATAAAATGCCATTTGCGATTTGGAAACAAATCGCAAATGGCATTTGCTAATGAATGTAGTAATGCATTCATTACTACAGCCTGTCTTTGCAAAAATATCACATTATGATTGCAATGATTACATACATATATCAAGGGTGAAGAAAATTAATTTTGAATATGCAGTAACACCGCACAATTCTAAAGCATTTTTAATTTTTAAGTTGAGAATCTTCGATCGCTGTGTAAAATTTCCCAAACTTCTAAAAATAAATAACATTTTCTCGGGGCGATGTAGTGAGTACACAATGTAAAGTGTCTGATGGAGAATGATCCGACGGCGCTTGTTTGTTTGCCGTATTTCACTGAAGACTTCCAGTAAACATATGGTTGTATACCATTTGAAAGTAACCATTTTACGCTCCTGTTATGGTATCCGTATATTTGCCACATGCCCAGTTTTCCCAAAAAAACAAGCGACCATTTGTTTCGAAGTGCTTCGAGTGCAAACAATTTTTGTTGAATTTGGTTCATCTGGAAACACCCATACAATCGACTGCTGTTTACGTTCCGACATCGTTATCTGTAACAATCTTATACTCGTAAACGGGTTTTGAAGCACCGCCACTGTATTTCTTAAGCATTTATGTGCTGTGTGCACCAATCACACAAGCTTCTTTTTGAGAACAAACCTTTTTCAAGCTAAATGATCTTACACTAAGTCTAAGGCAAGTTATATTTAATAATGTCAAACTTTCGTATGGAAACGTCTGATGATATCTGACAACAATCAATGTTGCCAAGACTCATAATATAGATTGTGACCCTCGTATGCACTTGTAACGTCTGAACTCTTTACGAAGAAGGTACATTTATACAGGTAGCTCCGGTGTTAGATGAAAGCGAAGCTATTGAAATATTTGACCGGCTCCTGGACTATAATGAATTTACAATGCGTTTCAAAAACAACAAAGCAGCCGGTGCCGATAGGTTACTGGCTGAGCTGTTCTTAGCTGGAGGCAAAAAGCTATTTAAATGCATAATACAACAAATTCAAAAAATATGGTGGGATATATGCATGCCCAACAATAGGAATTAAAGTTTGTTTTGCCCAATCCGCAAAAAAAGTGACCCTGCAATCTGCGCCAATTACCACGGGACCGATTTTTTTAATATCGCTTATAAGGTTCTGTCAAATATATTGTGTGTGTCATGCCACTACTGGGACGATATAGTGACAATGCACTTATATACCTCCTCATCACACAAAAAAAAAATAATAAAAAAGTTCTACGAAAGAGAACTCACTAAAATTAAGTATTTTGGTCTTCCAGTAAATTACATTTTATTAATGCTAGTGTTATTTTTAAAAGTATATGATATATACTGTACCACATTTTACCGACTAGTGCGATTTATATTTACCCTTCTTAATTTTATATAGAGAAGAACAATCAACCTTGAGAACATAATCTCCGTTATGGTAAATATTTGTGTAATTTAAGTTTTATATATGAATGCAACTTGTAACATACAATTTTTCTATAATAAAAATTCAAATAAAACAGCCGTGATTAAAGAATTCAAGCAGTTGTGGATTCAATTGTGTTTATATCGTCATCACCATCACCATTAATAATTTCATTTAATTGAGATGGCGGAACCAGTTGAGATATATGATATCTAAAAAGAAATTTTAATTATAAATATTTAAATGTTATAAGCGGCGCATTTATCAGGTCTATTTAAATAAAATACTTGCTTCCTGGCTGCCTTTGCTTTCCCATTTACAATTGGATTTGTTAATGCTCGTTCCAGCTGTGGACAATTTGCAGTGCCCCTGAGTGCCCACAACCATGGTGGTAATTCATTGAAATTTACTCGACCAGATAGTGCTGTGAGATACAACTCTCTGTTTGCCCAATCATGTGAGACCCAGCTTATGACGAACATGAATTTCTAAAAAATATGTCAAATAATAGAATTTTGATTTAGAAAACTACAAGGAAAACTAAAATTACTACAAATCGATTATTAATGTTCTTTACGCTTTACACTATATAGTGCAATTACTCACTTCTAATTCAGAAGTAGCGCCGAATTTTCTCTGGTCTAATATCTTAACAATATCCGGCAATGACAATTTATGAGCTTGAATGCTTGTATCCATATGAAGAAACATCTGAAAATTATCTTCTAACATTTTAACTTCCGCTGCAGTCAGCTCATAGTGCAATGACTTTATGAATAAAGGTGTGCCAGAGTTTAGCACTCGGGCGAGACATAATTTGTAGAGTTCCGTCATACCCAAATAGTTAGCCGCACGAAATAATTCACCGAGTTCCATAACTTCCCAATTCACTGGTTTGATATGTAACATCCAATCATACAAAAATTGGAATGTATTAGGTTTAATTTTATCCAGTGGTAAAACGACAAATCTGTCTTTTCGGCGGGATTTAAAAAAATCTGAATTTGCTGCCAGTATCTTTAAGAAACAGTCAAAGCTTTCATCCCCGACTTCCACCAGAACGTGTTCACGCAAAACGCGGTTGTAGAGCGATTGTTTTGTAATATCATTGTTATTTGAAGCTTCGTTTGTGCTCTCATTGGAAGTAGTTATTTCTGAAGAAGATCCCTTCTTCTGAGCTTTTTTAGCCTTATTTGCTGATTTGGAGGTTTTTTGGGACTTGTTATTTGATTTGTATTTTCGATACATGATTTCAATATTTACCAAAACTAAAACACAATAATTTTGCTTATCTTTAATGAAATAGTTTTGAATTATTTTCGAATATGAGAAGTATTCGGTAGATAAATTTTTATATTTTTATTTGAGTTATTGATGAATAAAAGAAATTATCAAACATTCGAAAAATGTTTTTAATTTGTCAAAACCTACTACGTTTTTTTGATATAGAATCAAAAGTGACATAGAATAGTAAGTCTACTTAATACTAAACTGATATATATTTAAATTATATATAAAAGACACTTATATACCCAATACTGACCACTTAGGAATTGCTTAAGTTTGTATAGTAAAACGGGCCTTGAACTAATAACATACATTGGAAAAACTCAATGAATTAGTTATATTAGGTACCGAAGCATTTCAGAGCTTTAAATTGTAATCAACTGTTGTATGACTGACTGATAGGAAATCAAAAAGTATGATATTATAACAATAATATGTTCAGCCTCCTATTATAATACGAATAGTAGCACTAAGAACCGAATAAGTTGCTGCTAATTATGATCAGTTACCTAAAAATGTCATGCAATATAAAAATGAAAAAGAAACAAATAGTTTTATTTAGTAGTTCCGGCTGACGCAGCACTTTTCTCCAGGCATCTTTTCTAGTTTTATGCATGAAGTATGGTTACTGTTCTATCAAATTGATCACTTCATCGAAGACACGGTTTTTTAATGCCATTTAAACACCTTTCCCGCTGGAATTTCATCATCCACCCCTACGGTGCGGATGACCCATTTAGTAATAGCTTAAATAATATCCGTTTATCATGGTAGAAGCGGTAGCTTACTTATCGGTTCAGTCGGTGATGGTTGTTCGTCTTAATTCTAAGGGCCAATAAAAATCATCAAAACCTCTAATGCCGTGTACATGCATTCTGTATACGTCAATGCTTTTGCATCCATATGGGAGTAGCAGGGATTCTACATAGGCATAGTTTAGATAGACACATATATACATAGAATAACATATAGGAGTTAGTACCAATTGATAAAATTAATATTACTTCTGCTTCAAATAGATAAATCCTGACAGCACTGAAAATATCTAGTTAGTCAGGGCGAGAACCCTATGGCTAGGCGACACACCTTTTGCCAATGACAAAATATAAGTTCTTGATATAATATATTATCTAAGAACAATTTCTTCAAACAGAATCAATGTGAAAATGTTTTATGAAAATTCTATGAAGAAAAGATTCGTTTATGAATAATCATATTTAACGTCTTAAAAAATTTCCAGTATTTATATATACTCTTGCATTCGCCTCTAATTGCTAAGAACTAAACGTATCAATTTCTAGTCTTAGTCAGAAACCTGTGACATTAAGTTTACTGTATAAAGTACTTTGATACAGGCACAGTGAAATATACTACCTGAACCACTGATTAAGTTGCCTGTGAGCCTCTTATTATCAAATTTGAGAATACTGTTAAGTGCACAAATTATTTTGTAAGAAATTAGTGAGATATTCTGGGCAGCTTTGTGACCTTTAGTTAGGTCCACCCTTCTTTTACCCTATAATACACAGTTAATAAAAATAATACCATTTTGATATATTTTTGGTTTTATATAAAATATATTAGTACTAACATTAAATTTTGATAAAGAAACTGTTGAAACACTGGAATAAGTTATCAACTATGGGAAAAGAAATGACATAAGAGCCAGTTTTCGATTTGTGAGAACACTTCCTGCTTTATTATAAAAATATATTATAAAATAATTATGTTAAAATTTGGAGAATAACACCAATAAGAATACTACTTTCACTAATATATATGCGGATACTTATAGATCTTTACACAAATTAAACTGCTTTTAACTTTAATTAATTTGGTGAACTGCAAAATAACTTCAACATAAAATGGAGTAATACTCCTCTTGGCACATTTCTGGTTATGTCCCTGTGAGGAAATGCACTTTTCTTATAAGTATTAATTTATGCTTCCTAAAATTTATTTAGATTAAAAAAAAAATATTTAAATACGAAAGCTCAACTCTGATGTATTTACAGGGTTTTTTACGTATTTATTTGTATATTTGAACTTATATCTATAAACTGATATAAATGAAATCTTTATAATTAAAGTTACTTATGTCATTTAACTAAAACTATTTTTTTGTTAATTGGGTTTTATACATAATCAATATTATTTAATTTATTGTATAATTAAAAGGCAAATAAATATTACGCTTCTTCATACTTCCAATTCTTGCATGCAATTGAAGTTTATGGCATTACTTAATTGGAAAATAAACTAAAAGCATAAATACTGATCATTTGAATCGGAAAAGTTATAAATTTAATTTTTTTATTGTTAAGTAAAATTTATGTCCAACATTGTGTTTTTCTATTAATATCACTTGGCTTTCTGCATTGAACTGCATCGCCGGAGCTCGGGCCTCGTGTGCGTATGAGTGTTGCGAGTACATAAAGCCTTTACATTTCCTGCTATTCTTGTAGGGATAAATAATAAAGATAAATGCATTTTCTTGCATTTTTCACAATATCTCTTACTTTCAATCTTTGCTGTGTTCCTCCTTTACACTATGCTCTAGATTAAGTCTTTGTGTTGTTTATAAATTCATTGGTTTCACACCATATTGCCTTCGCAAAGATATACGAGTATGTAGACTGTTGCAAATGGAAGCAATCCTACTAAAATTTAAAACTCCCATAAAGGAAAATGCTAAATGGTTTTATATTTTATGTCAATACTTTTTTTAGGAATATTATGAGCTTAAATTTTACTGCAATTGAAAAAGGAAATTATTGGACAGGATATACTATAAATACAGATAGAAAACCGACAAACTTAGAAATAAAAATTTATTTCTTTTTATTTACTGTAAACAGATTTAGTAAATTCTATAAAAGAATTAGATAAACGAAAAGAATGGAACTGATTTAAGGTTCAGATTTTAAAATCTGGACGAATACATAGATATTTTATGCAGCTTTGGAATTGCAGATTATCACATCAATTGTTCTGAAACAATTCTGAAGTACTACTGCGTATGTTGTACAGAGCTATTAAGCTTATGAGATAATATAGAATTTATATCTAAATAAATAATCTTAAATAAGGACAATTAAATTAGCATTTAGCAAAAATCAAAAATTTCGTTCTAATAGCATTAGTATTGATTTTAAAAATAGGAAACTATTAAATAGGATTAATAGAGGTAACACAGAGTACTTTTAAATACGTAAGCAGAAAAATAATTTAATACACGCATGTAAAACTACTATAACTCTTTATCATAAATAATAAGCACAACATACCATAATCCGATCGATTCGTTTAGTTTGCTAAGGAATATAGACCTTAACATTAATTAACAAATAAATTTGTGCAATGTTATTGACACGACCCAATATGTATGAAATCCAGATACTGAAACTAATAAAAAGGGTCATAACCTTATTCGGTACACTATAATACAGAGAATTTCTTGATTAAGTCATATTATTAGCACTGATGAAAACTTAACTTGTAACATGAGAAAGTGAACAATTCCTTCATCTTCAAGTAATAACTACATAATTATGATAGTATTATTATCAATGAATGACAATAATATTATATTTTAATATTAATTTCAAGAAAATACATCCGATGTTTGGTTTAACTTTGCTAAGAAGAATTCTAGTGGCAAAAGGAAGATTTCTCGATATTCGATAAACTAGTTTCTCAATTCTCGAGCTAATCATATATAAGTTTGCAAAGTGACTATTTGTGATTGATTAATCTCAGACTGATGTGACTCAATAAATGCATAATATTTGTTAACTGTGTCAAATATTTTTTTGATTATACTCACAAAAATATGGTTATGGTTATAAACTATTTATATCTGTAGAATTATTTCAGCTGATAGTTTCAGAATTGCTGTACTCAGAAGTACGATAATTTGAATTCTTCACTGCTGTAAGAATGGCTGCTGGTCTATTACATTTTGTTGATGAAGCCTTATCAGCAGATTCGCTCTTGTGATTGGTAGAAGAAGATACATCTGGAGCCTTTGTGCTCTCATCCAGATCCAGATAGTTTGGCTTGCCGAACAAAATCCATCATGACCACTATAGGACAAATCATTAACAAAAAAATGTTCATATAATTGTCTATGTATGCAGAATATCTAACATCCCAGTCGTAAATTCTGCATTTTTCAATGGATAAAGAAATTTTTGATTTAATGTTATATGTCAATTAATTACTTTTTTTCATATGTCAGAGAATATGTGAATAAGCTTAATGAAAGTTAAAACTAACCTATTATTTTATTTTATATATTTTTCTTCTGTTCTATCCTTTTAGCTTCATTAAAAATCTGCTTTAATATTTTAGCTTTTAAGAGTGATTGGA